CATCTGACCATTTCCATCCCTTTATGACCACAGTGTATCATCTTCTGACCATGTCCATCCCTTTATGACCACAGTGTATCATCTTCTGACCATGTCCATCCCTTTATGGCCACAGTGTACATCTTCTGGCCATGTCCATCCCTTTATGACCACAGTATACCATCTTCTGGCCATGTCCATCCCTTTTCCCTTTATGACCACAGTGTACCATCTTCTGACCATGTCCATCCCTTTATGACCACAGTGTACCATCCTCTGACCATATCCATCCCTTTATGGCCACAGTGTACATCTTCTGGCCATGTCCATCCCTTTATGACCACAGTGTACCATCTTCTGATGGCTACTTTCAACAGGATAATGCTCCATGACATAAAGTGAATCATCTCAGACTGGTTTCTTGAAAACAACAATGAGTTCACTGTACTTGAATGGCTCCACAGTCATCAGATCATAATCTAATAGAGACCTTTGAGATGTGGTGGAACAGCAGATTTGCAACATGGATGTGTGTGTGTGTGTGTGTGTGTGTGTGTGTGTGTGTGTGTGTGTGTGTGTGTGTGTGTGTGCGTGTGTATGCTATGTCCTGGAGTGTAACATGATTTGTGTCACGTGCAGCACAATTTATATGGATGGTATATATTTTTAACAACGACAAACCATAATGAGAACAAGCAAAAATGGAATAAAAATAATGACTTTCTAGTTCTTGCCTTTAAAAAAATGTAAGGAGTAGAAAGTACAGATAAATGTGTGAAAATGTAGAGACTAGGCTGAAAWATAATTACTCATGTAAAGTACAGATAACCAAAATTTCTACTTAAGTACAGTAGTATTTGTACTTAGTTACTTTACAACTCTGAACATGAATAGTGTTTGTTTTCCACTCACCCATTTCCTCAGTGCTTCTTTCACAGTCATTGATTTGGCCTGAAAACAACATAGTTAACTAGTTATATTGTGCTGGTCATCAAAAACAAGCTAGCAAATGATGGTAAACAACCTTACAGATGGAGAACACACATTAATCCTCATTTATTCCTCTGCTTCTAAACAAACATAGCTATGGCCTTCATTGATTAGGAGAACTAAACGTTTACAGGTCGTAAATCCACAGAACTGAACTGAGTTTTAGCTAGCGTTTAGGGGTTTAGCCAGTTTGATAATATTAGCTAGCTAAATTTGCTAATAAAATTAGCTTATAGCTTCACCTGTGTTTTATGTTACGGTGAATTATGAATGAATGAATGAATGAATGAATGAATGAATGAATGAATGAATGAATGAATGAATGAATGAATGAATG